GTTCTCTTTTATGAAATAATAAATCTGAGAAAATATTTATTATAGCATATTTTGAGTTAGGCTTTTTTTACTAAAGGATTCTCTCTCCGGTTAGAGCTTCATTTTCAGTGCAAACAATCATAGTACCGTGACAACGTCAACAATTAGAAATTGTTCTTGTCGTGAAAGTTTTTTAGAGTTCTCTTGGGCGACATTGGGACTTGTAACATAGCAGGACAAGAACAAAATACAACCAGCCAAGATGTGAAATGCTCCTGTCACATAGAACGTGAGAGAATATGATCCAGATAAGTCAGCTAGAAAACCTTAAAAAAAAAAAAGGGGGGGAGATTTATTAAAGGAATTACCTCAAATAATTATTTTCTTCAACCACAAGCTTGGGCGAAAATAAATCTACTTGCCACAGGAGAGGATCAATTATCGTCTCTTGCTTAACAAATCACTATAATTTTCTTCAATCTCGTCCAATTATTGTTGTTTGTTAGGTCTTCTGTTACCAAGAAAAGACGCCTGTACGCACTGCTTTTAATAACACTCGTTTTTCAAGTTCCTTCGCCTGAGCAAATGTTAAAAAAAAATCTAAGGTAAAACAAAAGGCTTGCGTTTGTGCCCAGCTACTATTCAAAATGCACTCACCCCCAAAAGGAGGACCCACTGCTAAAGCGATCGCAATGCAGAAATGGAAAAATCCAAATCCCTGAGAGCGTTGTTTTGTGGAAAGTGTTCCCAGAGCTAAGATGTTCATTGAAGAGACTATAGCTCCGTCGGCAACAGCGTAGGCGACAAAACAGGCCAACAATTGGTTGTACGACTTCGTTAAGGTGGTTAGGGCTGCAGTTGCCCCGGCAATGAACACAGCCACTTGCATAATTAGCCTTGGATATAATTTGTTCCTGTCACACACGAAGCCCGTCAAGGCTCTCAAACTAACTGTCACTATTCCGTTCCAAAAGTACATCATGGATGCGCGGTTTGCGTCAATCCCACGTTCTTGACAGTACTCTGCCTGTAGGAGAACAAGTATGATCTGGGCTTGAACTCAATTATGAGGTACTACTTTACTGGTAAAAGGATTTAAGCGATGAGGTAACGGCGACTAAGAATCTGTTTTAACTTTTCCTAAACGATTAAGGGAGCTCTGTCACGCTTATTTTATTGTAGTTTTCTCGGGAGGACCATATTTAGACTCTGAGGTTTCTGTTAAATTTATGGAAACTTTTCTGGTTGCGAAAAAAAAAA